AGTGGGGTTTTGGGGTGTCCTTGGCTGCGGGCGGGTGGGATAATGCCCTTTTTCGGGGATGTTTGGGGTGGCGGATGGGAATCCCCCCTCCCCAGGGAGCTCAGGTCTGGGGGGTTTTGCTTCTCCCCAAAGCCCCACGGTCGGGGCCCGGTGACGGGGGGAGGGCGGCCGGGGCACCCCGGGTTTGGGGCACCGAACCCCATCCCCGTCCCAAAGCGGCTGCGGCCATCAGAGCCGCTTGGACGGAGCCACGGGCAGCCAGGGCCTCTACCTCCCGCCCCAAGGCCCTTTCCCAGCCCTGCATTCCCTCCTCCAGCCCCAAATTCCCTTCCCAAACCCCAAATTCCCTCCACCAGCACCAGATTCCCTTCCCAAAGCCCAAATTCCCTTCCCAAACCCCAAACCTCCTTCTCCAGCCCCAAATTCACTCCTCCAGCCCCAAATTCCCTTCCAAAACCCCAAATTCTCTCCACCAGCACCAGATTCCCTTCCCAAAGCCCAAATTCCCTTCCCAAACCCCAAACCTCCTTCTCCAGCCCCAAATTCACTCCTCCAGCCCCAAATTCCCTTCCAAAACCCCAAATTCTCTCCACCAGCACCAGATTCCCTTCCCAAAGCCCAAATTCCCTTCCCAAACCCCAAACCTCCTTCTCCAGCCCCAAATTCACTCCTCCAGCCCCAAATTCCCTTCCAAAACCCCAAATTCTCTCCACCAGCACCAGATTCCCTTCCCAAAGCCCAAATTCCCTTCCCAAACCCCAAACCTCCTTCTCCAGCCCCAAATTCACTCCTCCAGCCCCAAATTCCCTTCCAAAACCCCAAATTCTCTCCACCAGCACCAGATTCCCTTCCCAAAGCCCAAATTCCCTTCCCAAACCCCAAACCTCCTTCTCCAGCCCCAAATTCACTCCTCCAGCCCCAAATTCCCTTCCAAAACCCCAAATTCTCTCCACCAGCACCAGATTCCCTTCCCAAAGCCCAAATTCCCTTCCCAAACCCCAAACCTCCTTCTCCAGCCCCAAATTCACTCCTCCAGCCCCAAATTCCCTTCCAAAACCCCAAATTCTCTCCACCAGCACCAGATTCCCTTCCCAAAGCCCAAATTCCCTTCCCAAACCCCAAACCTCCTTCTCCAGCCCCAAATTCACTCCTCCAGCCCCAAATTCCCTTCCAAAACCCCAAATTCTCTCCACCAGCACCAGATTCCCTTCCCAACCCCCAGCCCCCCCCCCAGCCCCATTCCCCCACGGCGGGGATGGGATCGGGTGGGATTCACCCCCCGAATGACCCGGCCGCATCTGGATCTGCGGGAGAAACAGCACCAGCCACTCCACTGGGACCAGCCGTGACCTTGCCAGTCCCAAACTGGGAGGGTTTCCCCTCTAAAAGGGCTTTTTCCCCTCTAAAAGGACTTTTTCCCCACCTCTAAATGGCTTTTCTCCCCTCTAAAAGGGCTTTTTTCCCCTCCAGAAGGGCTTTTCCCCCTCTCTAAATGGCTTTTTTCCCTCTAAAAGGGCTTTTTTTCTCTCTAAAAGGGCTTCCCCCCCCAAGTGGCTTCTTCCCCTCTAAAAGGGCTTCCCCCCTCAAAAAAGGGCTTTCTTCTCCTCTAAATGGCCTTTTTCCTTCTAAAAGGGCATTTTCCCTTCTAAAAGGGCTTTTTTCCCTCTAAAAGGGCTTTTTTCCCCTCTAAATGGCCTTTTTCTCTTGAAAAGGGCTTCACCCCCCTTGAAAAGGGTTTTTTTCCCCTCTAAAAGGGCTTTCCCCCCCATAATAAAAGGGCTTTTCCCCCTCGAAAAGGGCTTTTTCCCTCGAAAAGGGCTTTTTCCCCCATAAAAGGGCTTTTCCCCCTTGAAAAGGGCTTTTTCCCCTCAAAAAGGGTTTTTTCCTCCATAATAAAAGGGTTTTTCCCCCTGGAAAAGGGCTTTTCCCCCCTTCCCTTCCTCCTTCCTCCCCTTCTCCCGCTCCTTCTCCCCCTTCCCCTCCTGCCATGGCAGGAACGGGGAACAAAACCCATCTCATGCAAAGCAGCCGGCGAGGGGGGGGAAAAAAAAAGCAATGTTTTTTATTGGAAAAGATGACATTTTTATTGTCTCTTGTATTGTGCTATTTTCTTTTCTTTATTACCCAGTTCCAGCTTTATTTTAGCCGGTAACAGAAGTGAAATTATTTTTCCAAGAGGTTTTTTTTTTATTATTTTTTTCCCCCCCTTTTTCATATCCACATTTCCTTTTTAAACACTCTATTAGAAAAATATTGCCTAGCAGCTGGGACGCAGGCACCGGGAGAGGCGTGAATACGGCACAGGGAAGGGGGGGGCAGCGGGCAATAAAAAATAAAAGGAACCAATAAAGATTAATTATCTAATTAACAGAGACATAAAATATAGAGAGGAATAAATAAGCCTCTTGCCAAAATTTGGGGAGGGGGTGTGGATAGGGAGGGGGGGGAAGGGCAGGGGGGATCCTGCCTGCGGGTCCCCAACCCTTTGTTGGGTGCAAACCCCCACGTTTTGCCTCTTTCCGCCCCAAAACGCGGCTGGGGAGGGGGGGGGGGGGGGGGGGGGGGGTCCAGGGGGGGG